GTTTTGAGAAAATAAATACATTACATTAATCTACTTATGGAGTAGAACACACTCGGCCAAAGAAATATTTTGTCCAACTAACGAAACCCACTAAAATAAATGGTCAAAAATTGACCAAACCAACTAATAAAAACTATTTTTCCAATAGAAAAATATGCACTTCAATTTGTTGACACAGTTATTTATTTGCTCGCAGAAATACCAGCCGTATGCTTCAGACCCTAACCTTAGTGGTGCACTTGCATCAGTCCTTTGGGAGCTGAATCTTCTAACAAAATATTATCATCCAGCGGTTTCTACTATGGCTTCTGGTATTTCAACAATGGGCACCACAAATTATAAGGTTTATCATTCCATCGTCTCACCTCAACAAGCTATTAAGGAATTATCTGTAGAGCAGGATTCAATTGTTCCATCAGGTGATTCAAAAATATCAAAAAGCAAAAGAAAGCTAGGAATTGACACACTTTCTTCTGTTAAAGTTCGACCGGACATAAATTTGAAGGATCAATCTGACGAGAATGTGGTTAGAAAGAAACTTACCGAGCATTTTTTGCTACTTCGTGATATTACAGAAGAGATTAAAGGGTGAATTGGACCGAACAACTTTGTCTTTGAGCCTCTACGAACAGTATAAAAAGAAGAAAAGGCAGAAGAGGAAGACGAGATAGCTTAGAAGTATAATAGATTTGTGAATTTTTCTACAAAAACAAATTCTGAATGCCTTGGAATATTTAGCGGGTTTTGTAACACAACTTGTTATAGTATTTCTAGTAAGGCCGATGTACAACAATCGGCAGTAGAGATGAATGGAAATTAAGTTAAAATTTTGATCATTGTATTGAGTTTTTAGTTTACTCCATGTAGTTCACTGTCCATTTATTGCTATGGAATTCAGCCTCGGTTTAGTTAAAAATCAATTTTTTAGTAGATTTTGATAAAAGTTGATGAAATATATGGCTGAAAAATTATAAAAGTTGTTGGTTCCACGAAATGTGGTTGAAAATGAGTTTTAAAAGGGCAATGCTACATGTACATAATTTTTTTTTTTACCTAATCTTTTATCTACACTCACAATAGGGTGTGTGGACCACATATTTTGGAGTTTTTTATTCACGCAAGTTCGCGCACATGTGAGAGGGTGTAACATTTTCGGTAAGGAACATTATGTCCAAATAGTTTTATCCATAAAATAAGTCTTTCATCGTGTTATGTGATCTTGTTGTATGAACACTCAAAAGAATCAATTACATACAACGGCATCAATCCTCCCTCCCTCCCTTCCTCGCTCAGCGGCATCAATCTTCTCTCCCTCCTCATTTTTATTTTCTGCATCTGGTTGGCCTAGTGCAAAAATGTTAAAACTAAAGGAAATGAATTAAGCCCTGCGTACAAGGCTTAATTTCACAGAGGTCTTACAGGCCTCTCACTGTACACAGTGCCCCACCCCAATGTTTTAAAAATATATATATGTGTGGCTCCCACCCCATGTGTGTCTGTTTGGACCCATTTTAAAACGGATCATGCTATATGTCCCGAATTTTTTTATCGAATCTTTTACATACTACTCACAATGAGGATAGAGACCACATTGTCAGAATTTTTAAATGCACGTTGGCCCCGCGCATTTGTGAGAGAGAATAATTCATTATGTACAAACAATTATGTACAAATGGATTAACCCTTATTCTATTTTCTGTTTTACATATGGTGCTGTATTTGTCAACTCACCTTTGGGTTGACTTTCTCTGTGATCTAAATTGGAAACCTAAAATTTCAAGGACCGAAGTAAATATTTTAGTGGTGACCTTGTAAGCTACATCATCATTGAATTTATACTTTCGTATATTCAAATTATACGAATTCTACCACGAAAAGTTTCCATATTCAGAACATAGTATTATCTTCAAGAAGAAATGCTCTGAAAAAAAAAGGTTTTTTTGGGATATTTTATTTGTTTGAGATACGTGAGTCATTTTTGTGATCTAACTCTTCAAAGCGAAAACTTACAACGATGCGAGTGACGTATCTAACTCTAACATCATGGACGGATCTAGGGGGTCCGGCGGTACTTGCCCCCCCAACTTTTGAGATTTTTTTTTTTTTAATCGCGTTTCATATCGATTGAAATCTAAATTTTAATCTAAATTAAAGTTAATAATTAATTTTAATAACATATTTAATGGAATCCATAACTGTTTTAACTTTTATCAAAATTTACTAAAGATTTGATTTTAATCTTCACCAAACAGGGGCAAAATCACAATAAATTTGAATTTCGATAACATGTTAATTTTAAAAATTCTCTAACGATCGTACGCTAATCGAATCTACAAATTTCTTA